CACCATCCCTTATTATCGAGTAAATTGGAAGCTTATGGATTCTCTGATGCTACTTCTTTACTGCGATCGTACTTCCTTGAAAGACAATGCAAAGTGTGCATCACTACATCCTCATCAAGTAAGTGGGTCGAGGTCGAAAGAGGTTGTCCACAAGGGTCCAATCTTGGTCCATTGTTATGGAATGTTTTTCAAAATGATTTACCATTCAGTGTCAACAAGGGAAAACTGATGATGTATGCTGACGACCATCAACTCTATTCCACCGGGAAGAATGTCAGGCAAGTTCATGATACTCTTAACGAAGAGGGCAAATCTATATCTGACTGGTACCAGGTTAATCAGCTGAAAGGTAACCTTACGAAATATCAAGTGCTGAGCATTGGTTGCAAACAACAGGATAAAGTACTGGTCAGGACGTCACAATGATGAACACAAGCATCAAGCAAGACAAAGTGCTGAAAATACTTGGAGTATCCATTGATGAGAACTTGGATTTCAGTCATCATGTTAGCTCAGTGTGTAAAAGAGCTGCCAAGAGAGTCGGTGTCCTAACTCKTCTTCGTAACATGTTACCTGTAAAAGCAAAGCTAAAGATATACAAGTCTGCCATACTGCCAATACTGACCTACTGTCACACAGTATGGCATCATTGTCGTGCTTCGGATAGGAGAAAGTTGGAGCGTGTACAGGAGCGAGCCCTAAGAGCTGTGTAYTGTAATAGGACTAGTGATTATGCAACACTCTTGAAATGGGCTAACCCAAGTACTCTGAACGATCGTAGATTACAAGAWATAGCTATACTTATGTATAAAGTTAAAAATCGTTTAAGCCCTTCCTATGTTACTGACTTATTTGATCAGTCCAGTTGCAGATATAATCTTAGGAATTCTGACTTCATCATACCAAGATTTAATACAGTCAATTTCGGAAAACACAGCATAAGATATCTCGGACCAGTYTTATGGTCTAAGCTTAAGAGGAACGTTAAGTCATTAGATACCCTAAGTAAATTTAAAAGACACATAAGAACACTTAACTTAGGTGACCTCATGAGTGACAATTGCCAAAACTGCCTCTTATGCGCAACCTAGTAAGCGTATCGATCTGAGTATCGAACACATGTAAATTAGGATCAGTTGGGGATGGGAATTATCTTATAGTTACTATGGGGTGGGGTAAGGATTTAGCTTGTAGGTTACACAAAAGTGTAAGAATAATGGGAATATTTAGGCGGAGGGGTGGGATATTACCGTAAATTAGATAATTATAAATATCATATATGGGTTGTTTTAAAGTGCATATGACACGAAAAAAATTTTATCTTAAAAATGTGGAGTTAATTAGCATTAACAAGAATATCACGCTTAAATTTGTTTTAAAAACGTATTATTCTAGAAAATCAAGAAAATTTAGCACAAGTCGTGACGTCATTTTGTTTACAAGTCTCCAGATTTAGTTGCAAATACACGAAATAKRTTTGAATRYAGAATCTTAATTTCARGTAGTACACTTTTCAGTTTCYCARCATTKGAAGARTACTACGTAAGCTATCAAAYGAAGCTGAATARAATATGCCTTTTGTTGTTATTTTATACGAATTACAATTTATATTTAGTGCWTTACTAACGAATCTAGAGGACGTGTCAACAAGATGACGTCACAAATTGGGCATAATTTTCTCAAATATCTCAAGAAATATGCTTTTGAAACAAATTTCATTACTATATATTTAATATTACTAACAAACTATACATTTTAAACGATGAAATATTTTCGTGTCATATACACTTTAAGGGTTTGGGAACATGGGATAAGATTTTTTATTGGTTTTATAGGGTTCTAGATAGGTGTCCCCAATTAGTTTATTTTGTAATAAGCTAGAACGACATGACACAGTAATAAAGTTATTCTGTTGGCCCAAGAGTGATGTTGCCTCTTATTGTGTCCAGTCCTTGAACTGCCAATCTTTTGTCACACTACAAACACAACTTTGGATTGGTGTGTCATTATTATGTCTAACTTACAAGAAGGCACAAATTCAAAATAATTCGTATAGTACTCAAAATAATATGCAACGACTTTGATTTGTCTTTCATGCCAAATGTACAATTTCCTTTTTTGACAGCAAGATCTTAAGACTACTACCCCAACCCAGCATTCCATGTACAAATAGTCTGTAAAACAGTCCCCACCCTCCCACAGGATTGCAAATATATATCACATTTTACCTGTATTTACTTTACAAATTTAATATACAACCTGTTAAGTAATAGTACGATAGCCCGAAATATACATCCTCGGCGCGTGCGTAATGTTTTCCCATTATAGACCACGTGTCATTCTCTAGAGTATCTTATTTTTAACGGTTACGCTCGGTTCACGACAAAGACTAAACCAAAGTGGTGGATATTTTCCACATCTTGATTATYTTTTTGACTTTTTTGTATGAAGTTCTTCCTCTTAATCTTCCTTGTTTGTTCAGCTCTTCGGCAACTCTCTCTGCTTCTTCAACCGTCAGGACTTCTGGTTTGTTCATGGAGTTTCCCTCTTTCTGTAACATTTTCAAAGTTCTCTTTAAGGGAGGGTCCCAACAAAGCTTCTCCTTCAAACTCTCCCACCTTTTCCAAGCTTTTTGTCTTTCGTCTTCATCGAGAAAGTCTTTATCTTCTTCAATGTCCTTTACTTTGTACGGCAAATCTTCAGCGAACTGGTCGGGCAGCACGATGTGGTACATGTTGGCCTGTAGAATCAAACATACTTGCCTAATATAAGACTGGCAATAACTTATATTAAGATTTTCTTTTGTCGGCGTGGTTATTACTTGTTTGCTACCCTCGTTTTTTTCAATGATTTCGGTAATTTTTATCTTAAAGTTACGATCGGCTTCGTTTATTTCTCTCTCACACTCTTCATCTAATTTTTTCATGTTTTTGGCGTGGTTTTCATTAAATTCCTTCATTTCTATCTCCTGGATATTTTTGTCTTGTTCAACCAATTTTTCCAAAGAAACTACCCTAGAGTCTTTTTCAGCAATAGTTTTGCTCAGCGCTTCTTCCCCCCCCTTAACTACTATTCCATTCGTCACAACAAGATCATCAAGGACTTTGATTTCTTTGCTTCGGTGATCGCTGCTTTTTAGGCCACCAACATTGCTTACAGCACAACCATTAATTTCCAATTTCTGCAGATCGCTGAGCCCCCACTCAAGTGTCATGGTTGGTGTTCAGACTCTGAATGTATCTAAAAAAAAATTAAAATATGCAACTTATTATATTATCATTATATTATACACTCAATTGAAGAATCGTTGTCGGGTTCAGAAACATAGAACATTATTTATAGAAGCTGAGACTGAAATGGCACATGGGAAGTACGTAATTAGATGCATGCTGTGACCGGTGACCCGTGGTATCATCCACTGTTTTTAATACGCGTTTGGCATTCTAAACCGACTGCATGGATGGCGCAAATGAATATTATAATATAATTCTGTCGTTTCTCACGTGTCATTTCGGTCTTAGCTTCTATGTTCTATGTTTCTGAACCCGACAACGATTCTTCAATTGAGTGTATGTGTAATAATCTAAAACTGACATTGAAGCCGGACCATAGTTAATAACGCTTTCTCGGGGACACCGCGAAATTCCTGGAGCTAAGCATAATCCTATTTTTAGAATTTGAAGCCATACGATGGTGACTCGTTACTCATTTTCACAACTACCAGACCGAATTCGAAACAAAAATGTCAAACCGAAAGGTCGAGTTGCTTTCTTCTTTAAGAAGATATAACTAGCTAAAAACTAGTGTGAGCTGCGTCGGTGTTTCTAATGAAACAGTAATGATGAAAAGGTAGTGATTATACACCGTTAAAAGATGAAAAAACTTATTGACGTTTCGGACGCTAGTCCTTCGTCGGAGTAAAAGGGCTTTAATCCGACGAAGGACTAGCGTCCGAAACGTCAATAAGTCTTTTCATCTTTTAACGGCGTATAATTAACCTTTTCATCATTGCTTTCTTAAAAAGTCCCTTCTCTTTATGCGTGACTCATATCTATCAATCAATATTCTTCCTTCTTCCTTCACACTGTTACTAATACTGATTTCCACAATTGATTTCATATCAATACCTTTCATATCAACCCAAAAGTTGAAAAATACTGGTTATGTGAATAATTTTATGTTATTTGCTTTTCATTTTTATTACAAGTGATGTTGGTTTTTTGGGTTTTCCAAGAATTAATCATCAATTCAGTCTAGGCTGTTCTGATTTATTTTATTTAGGGTTTAAAAAAGCCACGGCCGAACAAACTCTGCGACCAGCAGTGGTACCAGTTGCTAAGGTGTAACGTCATAATATGGTTACATTGTGGTTTCAAATATTTCAGGATCCTAAGGCTGCGTTCATAATATATGGCAGAGGGGGGAGCAGGTGAAATTGAGGGAGGATCGGGGATATTTTGGTAGGAAAAAGGGGGGATTGTATTTTTTTGCATGACTTATTGAAAAGATGCCCATCAGTTGGGGGTCTTTTGGTTGCTAAGAGCATGTGGCTCATTATGACAGAATTCGTCCTGATTTGCATAAGGTTGACTTTGAAATATTTCGGCCAAATTACATTTAATGTTAAAATTTTTAATCTAAAAAAGAAGCATTAATCTAGACATTCTTAAAGTAATATACAATAATCGCGTGAGATCTGTATGAGGTTTAAAACTCATGTGCTCGCTTCCAGTTAGCTGGAAATAATTAATTCAAAATCGGTCGACAACAACGCTCTCGGACATTCCACRATGTTAACTTCAGTACAGGTTCGGCAGAATATTTGCATAAACACAATGACATTGAAGATGTCGTCATGCAAATGTTCTCACGAACTTAACCGTGTGGAACGACCGAGAGCGTTGTTGTCGACCGACGAGGTGAGCTTTAGATACAACTCACTTT